GGAGTTGAGGAGGGACACCAGGAAACGCTGCCCCGGCGTGAGGCACAGGGGGAAATGCTGGCAGTGGAGGACAACTGGCGAGAAGAGGCCAAATGTCACCTCCTTGAGTGGGGACACTGCCCTGCTGCTGCCCCAGCCCCTTCCCGGGCAGACCCACACCCCAGCCCCTCTGCCCAGTCTACGCTACAGAGCACAGCTCACCCCGCATCCCCCCGAAATCCCAAGCCGAGGAAGGGCAGATGCCTCCTGGGTACCCAAGAACAACTCACCAGAGCTGGGAGGTGGTGGTGGGCGCGTGGGCTCCTCGCCCCTCGCCCGGGCCGGGGGAGCCAGGCGAGGAGCGAACTTCCCCGGGCTGATGCAAGATGCCTCTGGGAGCGCGTTCGCATTCTGCGGATTCCTGGGAGCCGGCCAGAAATCCCACAATCCTACATCTTGCACATTTGGTTTCAATTAGGGAGCGGAGAGGGGGAGCCAGTCACCGATCCGGGCTGGCTTTTCGGTGGAGGTTATTTTCCTCGGCCCGAGGGAATGTGTGCAAAGCTATAATTTAAAGCAAAACCCATTCATAGTGCAAGAGAAAAAAAATAAAAAGCTCCCCGTGGCCTGTGAGGGAACTTAAAGCAATAGGCAGTGTTTCACTTTCCAGCACTTGGCCCCACAGCTGTGGGATGGTATGTGTGTCCAGGACCCTCCTCCTGCACGGTGGGAAGCTGGGACCAGGTGGGACACCCACAAAATGCAGATGGATGGAAAGACTCCACAAGACCCTACTGCTGGCCTGGAGGGTCCTGCACGGAATACCCCTCTCTGGGCCCCAGTGGGATGGGCATTGGACTCCTGCATGGGCACTCATGGCCAGGACACTGGAGAGCCAACCTGCCCTGGCACATGGCATGGAATCAGTGCTCCAACTCCCTGAGTTCCACGCTGAGCTGGTGGGTTTACATCATTTCCAGGCACTAGCTTGGCACTGTGGCCACCAACTAAACAACTCGGCAGGGAGAAAATAATAATAAGGGCTCACATTAATTTTTGTGCAATAGTGGAAGCCACAATAGAAAAAAATTTTTATCAAAGCAAATTTTTTTCAGACCAGTGTTTTGGCTGTATTTATGCCACTCTCATTTTGTGGGAGGGAAGCAGCACCCCTGGCAACAGGCCAGTGGCTCCCCAAAAAACTCTCCCATCCTGCGGGACACTCTTCAGCCCCAGGACTGCAGCCTTGCTCCTAAACCAACTTCCTCACCATACTTCCAGGCTCTGCTCTCCAGATACAGGCAGGGGAAGCCATCCACTGGCCACAGCAGATGCTGTGGCCCTTGCCACTGCCACTAGAGAGGCTGTGGTGCCAGCAGAGTGACAGAGGCAGGGCAGAGTTTTCTCCAGGCTGGCAGTGAGGGCAGGCAGGGAGCAGGTGAGAGCAGTGCCTGCTGCAGGGCTCTGCAGTGTGCCCCCATGTGCTGCCCCAGATCAGCTGGCAGGGAGAAGCACACACTGCCCTACGTGCATACCAGCACAAACACCAGCCAGCTCACCTCCTGCTACACCTGGAACTGCTGCTCAAATAACTTGGCAGCAGCCAGGGCTGCATCACTCTAGCCCAGGACCAAACACAAAGGTGGTGATCAGCAGAGCCAAAAAGCCAAAGCCTTGGCCACACACAGCCCAGACAGTCCTCAATGAGCCACCACCAGGCACAGCGCCAGCTGGGCCCCCCCTCCACATGGGGAACTTCTAGGACCTTCTAGGCACATTGCCTGGGATGCCCACCAGCCACCTTAGCACTCAGGAGACTTGATGACTTCCACCTAGAAGTAGTTCGGGTCCCGTTCCCAGCCCTGCAAGGGAAAATCCCTCCCCACACAGCCACAGGGCAGTGGGTGGCTGTGACCACATCAGGGCCTGTGGTGGGACTCAGGACCATGACAGGAGCTGGCCAAGCTCCATCCTTCTTCCCAAACAGGAGGGGAGGCAGAACAGCTGCTCTGCCTGAGAGCATCAGGACACCATGCTCCCTGGTAGTAGGTTTTGGCAGGAGCCAAAAAGCACAGGGCACTGCTGGGTTCACCCTGAGCACTCCAACAGCACAGCAGACTTGCTTGTTCCTACCTGCTCAAGGTTTGCCACTGTTTGTAGAAATGTAACAGTGAAGTGCAACCCTCCCCTTCCCTTCCTCCAGCAATACCCCAAACAAGCACTGCAGGCCAGAGGACCTGCCTGCAGCCACCCCAGGCAGCAGCCCTTGCTGTGCTGTCACTTGGCATGACACACTTGGCTCTCTGCTCCGTGAGCAGAGCCTCTGTGGAAAGTCACCATCACTCAAACACCAGCAGATGACAAACAGGAGGGACTCAGAGTTTAATTGGGTGCTTCCAGTTGTGCAACATAAAAAGGATGACCAAAAGGGAGGACACGGGCAATGACAAGGACACTATTAAAAAAAAATAGTCATGTAAATTTAAGAAAAATAAAAATTCAAGATTAAACCCAGCCCCGTACCATAAAAATCCTCTCTCTGCATGTACAATGACTATTACTATATACATGTTTAAAAATAAATGCCCACAGCCTGGAGTGCAAAGAGCAGCACCATAGCTGTGCTTTGTGGCAGGGGAATCCATAAAGTGTTTGGTTTTTAAATTAAAATATAAATAGAAGCGTACAACATGCCAAGAACCAAGTGGGTTACCTCCTCCTCTGCACAGGGCCAGAGGGAGCAGGACCAGCCCCTAACAGTTAGAGCTATAAACCTTCATGTGTCTGAATTCCTGGTGGGACAGGCAGCCCGGCTTGGGCACCCTGCTGCCACTACATCCCATTCTTCACCAGCTCGTGGATCCCATCCTCGTCAATAATCAGAGGTGTACGAAACTCTCGGCCCTTCACGTACTTTTCCAGACCCTAAAGGAGGACAAAGCAGCTTGTTAGGAACTCACCAAGCATCATCTGCTCTGCTAATCCACCAAGCAGCTCACAGGCAGTTCTGTTCCCCTCCTGTGTTAGTAACTTGGAAGACACTGCCTCAAAAAGCCCCACAGTGAATTCAAGTCACACCTTCATGGCTTAGCCCCTCCCCAGTCAGGGCTCTCATGTGTGCCCTGCCAGCCCCCCCACACGCCTAGTCCATCTGCAAGAGTCAGCACTCACTTCTCCTCCGTAGGAGACAAGGGGAGAAATTTCACACTGGACTGGCAGGTCATTTGCATCCTTCAAGCTGCAGAGAAACATACAAAGTCAGGGGTTAGGTATATCCCACAGTAGGACACTGATGGAGCCCAAGATCTTGCCGATGCCAGGTGAGAGGTCAGTGGCTCTGGGGCACTGGTGGCTGCCATCCCACACAGAGTTGCCCTGGGTTAGTCAAGCCTTGCGTGCTCTCCACGGAGGTGTGAGCTAAAGTTTACATACCAGCAGTGACTGAAAGGGAAAAGAGCTTTAGATGTGGCTTTAATAATGCCTTTCCACGTTTGCAACTACAGCAGTGCCTGTGCCCTCAGCCCCACTATTTTTGATGCTGCATGCAAACTAGCCATCCATTCCTTCTCCCCCTGAACCCTTGGAGTGATGAGAGATGCACTCACACAGCATCTTCCCCTTTGGCTGGCCACAACAGGTCTTTTTTTAATCACTCCTGTTTAAAGCACAACCTGAGGACTCAGGGTAAGCCTGGTCTACTCGCTCAGAAATACTCCCTGCAGCAGTCTGCTCCTCCTGCCTTTGACTCTCAGTTCTACTGCCTCAGCTCCTCTGTTCTGCATTTGAGCTGCAGCTGGCCAGCAAAACATCAGAACCACACCAATGCTGCCCACTGTGCAGCAGCACTGCCAGGCAGGGAGCTGTGTGGGGTCCCTGACTCTGCGCCTGCTGCCACCAGCCTTTGGAGAACCCCACAGATGCTCCCTGGATCCAAGCAGCATCTAAGTCTGGGATGTGGCCACGTGGAGCAAACAAGGAACCACAGCAGCACCTCAAGGTGTCCCTTCCCAGCTGCTCACCACCAGAGTCAGGCAGGCATGGCAGATGTCATCCATGACAATGCTTTCTTCACCCAAGTTGAAGCTTGTCCCTCCTGCCACACACTCACTCAGCCCCATCCTGTCCCAGCTGTGAATAAATAAAACCCATCCATCTAACTTAGCCTTTGTACTTGTGTTTGCCTTGGAGTCAGCTTCAAGATGTTTTTTAAAAAAACCCAAACATTAAAAAATGCCATTAATTGGCAATGAAGGGTAAATGTAAGATAAGGTGCATCCGTTTTGGTACATTGTAACTAGTGTGATGGCCTAGATATAAACCTGAAAACACCTAGAGTCTGGAATTAAAGCAGTAACCCTAGGTATATTCCCACCAAAAAGTACCAGAAGATACAACTTCTGAAGGAGGGGAAGGTAACAAGCTTGCTTAGTCTGTGAGTCCTTTACACTCACCAGCTCCAAGTCCCAGCTGGCCAAACCTGCCCTGTGCCTACAGAACATGCTGCTATTAACAGAAGTGCTAAAGCTTTCCCCCATATTCCTGTAAACTTTCAAATGCTGAGCCAGGGGCTTTCCCTGATGTCACAGTCTGGATCTTCCAAGCTCAAGAGCTGAAATCACACAAAGCACAGCTGGCAGCTGCACTTAGATTTGCACATGCTACATCAAAGCCTACTTGACATTCACTTAATGTTTTTAATCCTGTTCCAATTTGCCTGGATGCCTGGCAGACATAGGGAAAGGGCAGCTGTCTCCAGCTAGGGGACCGGCCGGGACCAGTCTGGGCTGCACTATGCTGTGGTGTGACAAACAGGGATGTGTCACGGAAGGGACACACCAGCTTGTTTCCCAACAGCATCCCCTGTGGGGTGAGCTCTGGGGGCTCTGTGAAGTCAACAGCAGCTGCTGCTGCCCCACATCAGTACCACCAGCACAAGCAATTATCCCCACTGCAGAAAGGAGCCCAGGAGGGAGCAGATGCTGCCTACCACCCGCCACCACAAGAAGCAGCATCCACTGGGTCCTGCAGAGAGACATGCCCCACTCCCAGCATGCGGCCCCAAGCCCCTGGCCCTGTTAGTCCCTGTCCCCAGTGCACACCCAGGGCAGTGCCCACAGCCTGGCACGCTGCTTCGCCTACAGCCCGTTAGTCCCTAAGCACAGCCCCGCCACCATGCACGCTGCACGGTATAGTTACTTGTCATTGACATCTGCTGGGGTGGCATCTGACCTTCCGTTTGTGACGCTACATGGGAATAAACAAGGGTTAGCAAGTGGGGAAAAAATAGGGCAGAACAAGTCTGGGGTTCACTGATCTCCAAAGAGAGACAGCAAGGAGGTCTTGTGGTTGAGGGATGCTATGACTCCAGCCTGGCTTGATCTGCTGGTGTGCTTGGGCTTTAGGGAGCCTCCTCCTTCCTTCCTGTGGAGGCAACCTTGGCTGTGCAACGGAGGCTGGCAGGATTCAGTCCACACTCACGAAGGAAAGCCGTGGCTGACTGAGCGAACGCCCCTCCTGCCACCACAGCCCAGCCCACACCCAGCTCTGCCCCATGGACCACCCAGGAGAAGAGACAGCTGGTTTTCAGGAGCACTGAAATGGAGAAGGGCTGAGGACTGCCTCATGCCTTATATCCAGTCCAAAAAGGATGCAGGGGCAACTCACCGAGGGATGGCAGGGATGCGTGTGCCGTTTTCATCCACAAAGTGTCCCCCTGCATTGAGAACCCAGCAGTGGTGCAGGGACATCAAGGCATGCCGGGCTGTGGTGGGGTTGTCCTTGCCATTCTGGCTGTCTGCGTTCTTCAGAGGAGAAAACTCATCCTCACGCAGCACCTCGTACACCACAAACTTCCTGGGGGAACAGAGCGTGGGAGGGTCAGGCTTGGGAATTGTGGCTGCTCTGTCACTTTGGCTTCTCCCCTGCCAAGGTGGCTGAGCTGGGGCCATGGCTTTCCCCCAGCCAACACCCATAGGCTGTTTTCACAGCCACAAAGGTGGGAGGGAAGGGCCTAGGTCAGCAGATGCTCCTCTAGCCCAGGAGCAGGGCTCAGCCAGACAAGAGGCACACAGTGCCTGTCCCTCCCTGCTGCTCACATCCCTGCTCA